GCTTGGCAGGCCACATGGCGGTCCACGGGCCGTATGTTGGACAAGCCTGGCCTAAGCACATTGAACAGAGGGATCCTTTGAGTAATTCACAATGTTGCATTGTTTTTTTCCTGAGCTGCAATAATCTACAGACACTCCAGAAGTGGCAGAATGATGGGTGGGCAATCTTAGAATATTATTTTGAACCATGACATTCTGGAGGCCTAGACTGACTGATTTTTCATGGATCACAAGAGGCTTTTAGATTAAAATTCCTAATTTGTCTTTATATGTTAAAACCATGACAGGGCTCTATTACTCTTGCTTAAAATACTGTACAGAAACAGAACTAAAAACACCTTTATCCTAGAAACAATAGCCACATAGCAGTATGTAGGTAACAGAAAGGAGACCCAATTTAGGAATTTGTTACAGTTTTGAACATTTCTCTAGATAGCACTGTTGTAGCTAATTCATAACTTTATAAGATGTGTAAACAGTCCAGGTTATTCCATACAGAGGCACATGTGTATGGTTAAGGGCCTGCACATATGTATGGTTAAGGGCCTGCCGACCAAGCCCTACGAGGAGAGACTAGAGAACCTGGACCTTTTCAGCCTCTGCAAGAGAAGGTTGAGAGGCGACCTTGTGGTTGCCTATAAGTTCATCACGGGGGCACAGAAGGGAATTGGTGAGGTTTTATTCACCAAGGCACCCCAGGGGGTTACAAGAAATAATGGCCACAAGCTAGCAGAGAGCAGATTTAGATTGGACATTAGGAAGAACTTCTTCACAGTTAGAGTGGCCAAGGTCTGGAACGGGCTCCCAAGGGAGGTGGTGCTCTCCCCTACCCTGGGGGTCTTCAAGAGGAGGCTGGATATGCATCTAGCTGGGGTCATCTAGACCCAGCCCTCTTTCCTGCCTATGCAGGGGGTTGGACTCGATGATCTATTGAGGTCCCTTCCAACCCTAACATCTATGAATCTATGTCTTGGCATTTGTCAACACTGCATTTACTTATCATGGTGCGCATTCATCTGTCTTATTTAGGTCCCTCCAAAATTTCCCTGCATCCTTCTTGGTCTTGACAAATTTTGCTACTCTTGTGGCTCTCCCTTTTTTCAGATCAGTTAATAAATACATTAGCAATACTGCTTATAATGTAGAAAATAGGAGTAGCCCACCGTAGTCCTTTTATAATAAAAGGTCTGTAGTCAAGGTAATAAATCAATTGTCTTAACTCGTAACACATTTCTCATCTAGATAGTGGTTATTTAAATAATGACATTTATTCAGTGGGCACAGTTCTTTTGATAAGTTCTGATCGTTTTTCAATTAGATAACTATTTTGTGACATTGACACTATTTTTGCATGTGTAATTTTTACACTTAAACCCTAAATGACACATTATAATGAAGCATGAAGAATTTCTCCAAATTCTGGCTTTTTTTTTTTAGCTGTAGCTTTAAAAGAAACAGTATTTCACTACAGTTTTTAGAAAGAACACAGTTTTAGGGAATTAGAAGCCTGAATAACCTGAGAATGAGTAGGGACATTTTTTCTAAACCTTACAGGTAGCAGGTACAGAATTTCATAATCTTTCCTTTATTTTAAAGTCTTGTTAGACATTTAAACACACTTAACTTCCTGAGTAATCATATTGTGAACCTCTTGGAAATTGAGAATTATACAAAGTGAATAGAAGTTCTTTGTGAACATTTCTGTGAGATCCCTAGAAGGCATTTTAGTTAGTCAAAACTAGTGAAAAAAGAAAACTGTACTTTAAAAATATTGACTCAATGCAGAGACTTTATCACCTAAGCTACATAAATTATTGTGGAACAACTGACTTTTTTAAAGCACTGAGAACTGAATAGCTTAAGGGTCTGCTAATTGGCTACAGGCACCTTCAACTCTAGATCACCAGTTTAGATGAACAGAATGATAGCAACCAAAAATCAATACTCTTACTCTATCAATTGTTTGATGCTTTCTGAGAAATAAATTGGTGATGGTGTCAATCAGTTTCCATTGGACATAGCCTTGCATAACAAATGTCAGATTCTGGCAATCAAAGTGAAGGGACCAGTGACTGAAAGAACATAGAGGTTGAATGCAACCTGTTCATTGCATGTGAGAGGGGATCTTTTTGTTAAAGGTTTTGGATCTGATATCTTGAACAAGATAAGAGTGCAGAAAATGAAATGGCAGGGCATATCATGAGAACTGATGAGAGAAGGCATGTGAGCTACATTTTGGAAGCTGAGGTGGAGGATATCAGACCTCAAGGTAGATCAAGAAGGCAACAATGAGAAGATTATATAAAAACTCCTCTGGAAGGGATAGATGAAAATGTGACAAAGTGGAAGGAGACTGCACAAGATAGAAAGGCTGTAGTTAAGTTAAGGTGGTTATAAGGCCTTGAGGTCCGGGACACCAGAGAGAGAGAGGTGGTAGAGGCAGATTGATGTATTGTATTCCACATGATCTGGGGCTGAATGGAAGATGTTATTTTTTGAATTTGCTATAAAACATGTCACAGCTGATCTGCTCCATTGGTGACATCTGTTTATACCCTAAGTCTATTTAATAGGTGGAATAGGATCTGGCCCTCAGTGTTAAGATGATATATGGTTGTAGGATTCCGTGGGTGGCAATGTGCATGACAAGGTGGTTTGGTAAAGTGTTAGACTGAAGTTGTGGCATCAGTGTGGTTTCTGAGGGACTGGTAACATGGGGTGCCTGTGCACAAGCATGGAGACTGCTCCAACTACTTGAGTCTGCTGGAGCATGGTAATTACCATACTTCAGCAACCTCCTGCATCTCATCTATCAGTGTCCCCTTGCTCCAAAATGGCAGAAGGGGTGCTTTATTTAAAGCTCATTGAACGGGGGCCACTGATACACAAGACACTGCTGTGCTTTAGTTACAGTGGCTCTCAGAGATGCTCTAATTAAAGTGCTGCCACTCCACCACCTGAGCACGTGTAAAAGTGCCCATGAGGGGTGTAAAATAAGGTGACTTAATGAAGTTAACTTAACTAAGTCAACTTAAGCCACATTGGAGTGTACACGCACATAGCTCTTTGACATGGTGGCAGCCATCTTGTGAGCTAAGTTGACTTAACTAATGCAACTCATGATAATACACTTTGGAGGTGTATTATCTTGTGCCACAGTTAAGTTGGCTGTGCTTTACATATGTGTGTATGCTCTGACAGTTATGTCAACTTAAAAAAGTTAAGTCGGCTTACCTGTCAGAAAGTTAGTATGCAAGTTTTAGGACTGCACGGAAACATCTTGTGCCTTTCTGGGCATATGGCATATGTCTGGAAGATGTCATAAGTAGAGTGTGTGGAGGGGGCAATGTGGTTTGTGTATGGGATTGTGAGGGCCTGGTCAACTTATAGAGGAAGGCAGCAAAAACAGAATTGATACAGTGGGATATAGTGTAATCGGGGAGGGTGTGGTTGACTTTGTAGTGTTTGGTGCATTGGTGGGTGTGTGTGTGTGTGTGTGTGTGTGTATGTGTGTGTGTGCGCGCGCGCGCATACAAGGAAGCAAGAACAACCAAGCTGGTTTAAGAGGTGTGGCAAGGTTGGTATATATATGTGTGGGTGTTGTGGTGTGGTAGGTTTCAGAATGGATGGCATGTAGGAAAATAGGGCTAGCATGATTTGTTATAGTCTGATTTACATTGTAGCATGACTTGAGTATGTATATCTATATATATATGTGTGTGTGTAAGCTACACACTGTTGATGTGTATATGTGAAGAGGATGGCATGGCCAGTGTGTACCTGTGTGTGTGCATGTCTGTGTAGTGAGGATACAACATTTGCATGTGTGGGAGATGGTGTGGCTGATGTGCATATATTATTATTGTTATTTGTATTACCCTAGTGCAGAGCTTTCCAAACTTTTCATGTTGGTGACACACTTTTTAGACATGCATCATTTCGCGACACAGTAATTCAGTTCCGGGGGAGGGGCCAAGGGAAGCAGACGCAAGTAAGGGAGCTCCACGGTGCCCTTCCGCAAAATTTTCTGCATTTCGCGCGACACACCTACACACTGCCGCCGACACACTAATGTGTTGCGGCACACAGTTTGGAAAGCTCTGCCCTAGTGGGTAGAAGCCCCATCCATGGACCATTGAATCACTGTGCTACATTGTATACAAATACAGAACAAAAACACAGTCCTTGTCCCAAAGAGGATATGAGACATAGTATGGTGGTATATGCACACAGGTAGTTGGGTGTGTAGAATATAGCATAGCCAGTATATTTATATATGCATGTATGTAGGGGCATGGCACAGCCAGGGTGTGAACATGAGAAACAAAACTTGGCTGGTGTAGATGCTTGTTTATGTGTGTAGCACAGGGTTGGGCAATTATTTCAGCTGGAGGGCTGCTTAATGACTTTTGATGAGCTGTTGAAGGCTGCAAGGGTAGCCCTGCCCTTGACAGGTGCCCTGACCTCTGATCGCCACCTTGGGATTGGAAGTCCCACCCTCTAATCCTTGACCTTTGCCACCAGAAGTCTCCCTCCACTCCCCCCCCCCCCGCTCCGGGAAGTACTCATTTTGGGAGTGGGGATTTGCCATCTTGGAACCAGAAAAAAAACAAATCATGTACAGGCAGTCCTCAACTTACAACGTTTCACGCTTACAATGTTTCTAAATTGACACCATTTCAACTTTTTTACTTCAGTTTCAACTTTACAATGCTTCATCTGATGTGACACCATGTCAGCGAACAAGTCGCTGTGTAACCCATCTCCCTGGAGAACATCTGCCCAAACTTCCTTGGACACTTTTTTAAGAAAGCAGACAAGACTCCAGAAAAACCTGCATCCAAGATTCCTGAGAAGACTCCAGCCAAAAAAGTCTAACCAAGAGCCCTTCAAAAATCCAGCAAAGTCACCTCAAAGAAGTCCTTCCAAATCAATATGATTGCTATTTACAATATAAATACATGAATGTAGCTATATTACCCATCTATAATTGATTGAGTACAAAATTCTGGGCCATTTTTGGTGAAAACAGGGTATTGGGCCTTGGTTCAGGAACCAATCCCCCATTTATAACATTGTTTCCTATGGGAAAATTGGTTCTCAGTTACAACATTTCAACTTAAGACTGCCATTTTCAGGAACCAATTGTGTCATAAGTCTGAGGACTGCTTGTACTAAAAATCAAACATCTAATATAACATATTTTAATTTTATTTAAAAAAATATTTTGTCCTGATTTACATGTTTTTGCATAGTGTATATAGAAATGATTGCATAATAGCCCAAAATAAAGTCTTACTCTTATATATTATGTGTGTGGGAGTGTGTTCTTTTCTGATAGCCAGGGCAGTTTTTATGAGATTTAATATGCAGTTTAAATTCTGTTAAATTTGTGCATTTATTACAGCCTTTCAAAATATTTTAAAACTACTATCATATCCCCCACCCCCTTCTCCTTCAAACAAAACAAGTTCTATCAATCTTTCCTTATCCTGCTGGGTTTTTGGTTGTAGCCATGTTGGTTTAAGGATATAGACAAGCAAGTTTCTCTGAGTAGATGTGATATCTTTTATTAGACCAAGTAGTCGGAAAAAAGTTCTTAGCAAGCTTTCCCTGAAGAAGGGTGACTGCACCTTAAAGTGTGCTAAGAACTTTTTTCCATCTACTCAGTTGGTGCAATAATGGATACCATATCTACTCAAAGAACCTTTCCTTATCCTGCTTGCGCTTTAACTCACATTTCACCTTGACAATTCAGAACTGCCCACAATGATCCAGTTGAGACCTAACTAGCGTGAGTAGTATTATCACCTGCTATAGTACATGATATTCCAGTTAATGCAGCAAAGATTGACTTTGCTTCTTTGCAGCTGCATCCCCCTGCTGACTGGTATTGGGTCTGTGGGCCTTGTAAGGCATTCATTTGAAACTGTTGCCAATCACTGGAATCTAGTTGCCTATTAAACCCTCCTCCTGAAAGGAAACAATTTTGCAATACCAGGAGGGCACTTAACACTTGCTAAACTGCTTGACCACATGTGTGTCTGCCTGCATTTTAGTTAGTAAGTGTTAAGTTGAATGTGTGACACCACGTAATTCACCGCCCCCACCCACCATGTCCTTCTCAGCAGTATGACTGCTTAGCCCAGGGATCAGCAACATTTTTGGGCAGGATGCCAAAACACCCACAACCTCGACTTGTAAGATGTTGGTGTGCCAGGGGTGGATGGAGAGGGAACCATGAGGGGTCCAATCCTTGTTGTGGCAGTGCATCCCTGACCCCTTCTCCACTGTCCACCCTGAGGCACATGTGCCAAACAAAATACTTCCATGTGCCACATTCTGGCACCCAGGCCAAGGGTTGCCTAACCCTGGCTTACCCTGTTTTGTCCTTGTCTGTTTGATTTTTCCTTCCTAAGGATAGCCCTTACTTACATTTGTCTTTGTTGAATTTTCATTTCTTGCCTGTAGTCCCATTCTTGGCTGAACAGATGCTGGGACTGGTATGTGTTTATAGATTTGAGACTCCATTCATGCTTATAAATAGCTTGGTAGAGTTGAAAGACAATACAGGACCTGGTACATTGTAGGTATATTGGGAGCACCCTCTCCAAGTTCGCAGATGATACCAAATTATGGGGCAAAGTTAACACACCAGAGGGCAGGGAGCAGATACAGGCCAATCTGGACAGGTTGGATCAATGGGTAGAATGAAATAGGATGCAATTCAACAAAGATAAATGTAAGGTACTCTACCTAGGGAGGAGGAATCCCCAGCACACCTATAGGCTGGGGGAGGACCTCTTCAGCCACTCAGCGGCTGAGAGTGATCTTGGAGTCATAGTTGATTCCAAGATGAACATGAGCTGGCAGTGTAATGAAGCCATCAACAAGGCCAATCACACCTTGTCATGTATTAGCAGATGCATGATCAACAGATCAAGGGAGGTGATGCTCCCCCTCTATGCGGCATTGGTCAGGCTGCAGTTGGAGTACTGTGTCCAGTTTTGGGCACTGCACTTCAAGAGGGACACAGAGAATCTGGAGTGGGTTCAGAGGAGGGCCACTCACATGATTAGCGGCCTCTGTGAAAGACCCTACGAGGGGAAGTTGAGGGATCTGGATCTCCAGCCTTCATAAGAGACGTTTGAGGGGAGACCTTGTAGCCGCCTATAAGTTTATCAAGGGAGGACAACAGGGAATTGGAAATTCGCTATTTACCAGAGCACCCCTAGGAGTTACTAGGAATAATGTGTGCAAAATAGTGGA